TTACTGACATCGATGGCACATCACATTACATTTCCATGTCAGCTGCTGTTTTAATCTATTAATGCAAGCTCATTCAGTAGAAGGATTTTGGTTTTTGTTTAGCAAAGAAGGCTCTTTTCATCATGTAAAGAAAAATTTGAATAATTTTGTGAAGCTTGCAGTGATTACTTTTATTGGGCAAATTTGGTAGGTCATTGAAGAAAACATTGACTGAAAATTTTATGGTGAAGTTAATGTGAGAAACTAATGTTCAATAACAATAATACATTCTCAAGAAGTACACACCACAACATTGGGCTTTTACTGATCTACATACAGTCTGTGGCCTATTGGGTATACCCCAAAACTCAGTCATATTCCAGGGTGAAGAGATATATATAAAAGGTTGTTATTATCAAACCATCTTTGATTTATATCCCTGGTATTCTACCTTTTAAAGCTGGGGGCCAGTTCCAATCTGTTAAGACCATCAGCGCACCAACATAAACTGTGTACTTCCATTTTTTTTCTTTGTCAGCCTCACCCATTTTTTCATAGCGGTGGATTCGAAATAGAATGGGCCAGGGAAGAGCATCAACAGGCAGGGTTACAATTACAGTATGATTATTATCTGAAATTGTTCTTATTTTATTATATATCCTTGACCATATTATTATGTCTGATATTATTTATGTTTTGTCATCTCTACAAGGTTATTTTATTATCAAACCATCTTTGATTTAGATGCACAGGGTTACCATTACAGTATGATTATTATCTGAAATTGTTCTTATTTTATTTATATATTCTTGACCATATTATTATGTTTGATTTCATTACTTGACAAATTACATTTGATCATACCTGCAGATCCCTATTTTTGAGATTTCCAATCCAGAATGCATCTTGGCAGTTGTGTAGGGTAAGCATTGCTTTGACACGGTAAACAAAACTTTCCAATGATCGCTTCATAACAGGAACATGTGCAATCAATGAAACATCACAAACAGCCTACAAGAAAATCTGAGGTATTAATTCATCAACTACTAAAAAAAAAGACAAATTAATTAACTGCAGATGTGATTCAGTTGTGATGCATCATCCAATTACTGTAAAACATAAGCATACCTTAGAATGACTGCATATGTGGTGCAACATCCGAGTACTGTGCTGCAAAGTTTTTAGCAGGTTTAGCACCTCTTCCTTCTTGTGTCTGAAAACTTTATCAAGAACTGGCATCCCACTTCGAAGAAAAACATCGATGAATTTTTGCCCATGCTGTAAATCAATTAGAAAATATTGGTTTGACTTTTACATTCACTTTTAGAATGCCCCTGACCCCCAGGGTAGTAGTACATCAACATAAGCTGTTAACATACAACATGTAATTTGTATCATTACTGCCTAAAGTGTACAGAAGTATCAAGTCCTGATTATTTTATGGCTAACCTAGTACATCAAAATGATCAGCAGCTGTTAACATAAAACATGTAATTTGCATCTTCACTGAATAAAGTGTACAGAAGTATCAAGTCCTGATTATTTTATGGCTACTCTAGTACATCAACATGATCAGCATCTGTTAACATACACATTTCTCAAGGTGTGGATGCCTATCAAAACTTCTAAAAAATATACAGTACCTTCAACATGGCTAATATGTTTGGTTTTGCACTAAATATCTTGATAAGTTTAGTAAGCATGTGCAGTATTTTGATTGCTGCATTCCACTTTAACATGATGTCAACATTATGTTGCACATCACTAGATATCTGTGATTTGATGTTCTTCACCCCTTGGACAAGCTCACACAGTAGATTGCGAAAAAAACAGCCAAACGTTTGCCTATGGAGAAATGAAAATGTTGTAAATCAGTTTACCATAATAATTGAAAATTACAGATGTCTAATTTGTCAGTATA